GAGGAGGTAGGATTTTGAGATGACAAATCGTGACGTGAGCGTTCATCACGGCCATTGCCGCTATGACGACTATTCTTGTATGAAGAAGAAGAAGAAGAGGAGGGACGATAACGATCGTCTTCGCGAGGAGGTCTACGGTTATCATGGCTGTCACGTTCCCGCTTATAATCATTTTGGTATTCTCTTGTGCGCGAACGATCGCCCTGGAAATAACAAATTCATTCAGGTACGATTTTTAACAATGTATTGTATATATTTATATATACAGATGAGATCAACTTATTAGCAACTAAATTCAAAATGATATTGTTTGCAAATTATGTTTATGTATTTATTTTTAATAATTTTAATATAAATCTTAATTCAATCTATCACAGAAACCAATATAAAAAAGTTTAACAGCTTGCACAACTTGCAAAAATATTACTCAGACTTCAAAAAATTGTCAGCAAAATTTTTAATTAGAATATTTAGAAAAATTTCGGGTATGCAGTTTTGTAGCCCATTCAATTGTAGTATAAGAAAGTGCAAGTTTCTAGTCTTTACCTTGATTTTTTAGAATTTTTTTTTGCGGGTGTTGCGCATTTTCTGCCATAAAACACATGATAAACTTTTTTTATATGAAAAAAAACACCATAACCCTCCACAAAAAAATTCTAAAAAATTAACAGTTATTTTTAACGACTTGAAACTTGCACTTTCTTACACTACAATTGAATGGGCTACAAAACTGCATACCCGAAAATTTTCTAAATATTCTAACTAAAAATTTGGAAATTTTGATGGCAATTTTTTGAAGTTTGATTAGTTTTTTTTTGCAATTTGTGCAAGCTTTTAAACTTTTATTATTGTGGTTTCTGTTATAGGTCGAATGATATTTTAAATGAAAATTATTAAAAATAAATAAATAAACATAATTTGCAAACAATATCATTTTGAATTTCGTTGCTAATTAGTTGATCAGATCTGTATATATATTTAAAGAAAACTTTACCTTGTGGTCAAATCGATTATTATCTTTCGAGTAACGTGTGTCCCTCGGCTCCCTTTCGTCTCGATGGTCACGTACAACGTCACGACTATCTCGTCTGTTATCACGGTTGTCACGCTGTTTGTCGCGGCTAGGCAATGCAGACGATGTAGACCTACTGGCGCTACCATAGGAAGCCTTCTGCCTTTGTGAATCCTGTAATATAAAAGTTAGTACAAAGCACTGTAATATTAATATTTTGCCGAAGTATCTCTTTTTAATGTTATTTTTAATATAATTCTAAGCTTAAATATATCCACTTGACATCAGTTAAGTTTTACCCATTCCCATCGAAATTTTTAGGTATGTTGTTTTTGTAAATAACTTTTCAAAATGTTTATATAATTAATCTAAAACCTGTAAGAAATAAATTACTGTTTCTTTTTGTTAATTTGGGTATACTCACGTTCAATTACAGCGCAACTCCTACACAGTAAAGTTACATATGTAAGTATGTAATAGGAACACACATAGAAAAAGTCTCCCTCGAATTTTTATCGCATTCCTATAAAAAATGTTAAGGTTTTTTTTT